GTGGTGTCCTACCTGGTGAAGTACGGCCACCTGCTCATGATGGCCAGTGGGGCCGCACTGCCGGAGGACGACTGCCTGTACGTGGTGCTGGCCGGCATCATATCCGTGGCCTACTCCCCGGTGCTGGGGGAGACGCAGGAGTACTTCCTGGGGATAGGGGGCGTCTACAACCTCTACACAGCACTCACGGGTGGGCGGGCACTGGGGCGGGGGAGGAAAGGGAGTGCAGGGGGGCCAGTGGTCTTGCAAGGAGTCAGCTCCGTGCATCCCCGTGCAGGGCGGCTGCGTCATACAGCCTGGTGGTGGTTGGGGCCAACACGACCACTCCTCGCCACGACCATGGCGCAGGCGAGCTGCTGCCGGGCCATTGTGACGTGTGGGCGCGGGGCAACGCCCTGGGCAAGGGCCCCGTGCTGTTCTGCCTCACGGCAAGCGGCATCAAGAACATCAAGCGCCTGGCGGCAGGTGGGGCGCGGGAGGGGGCGAAAGGGCAGGGGGCCCGGGGCGCAGGCAGGCATTGGCATGTTGGCAATTGCATCCTTGATTCTTGTTGCGCCTCCTGGGCAAGGGCTGCGCAGCAGCAGTTGGCACCACCCTTTTCGCGCAAGGTAGACAGGGTGATGGACTAGAGCACGGGCCGTTGCGTTTCACAAAGAACATCGAGCCTCCGCAGGCGCCACGGTCTGGTCAGGAGGGATTACCCACCTTCGCTTGCTGATCTACCACCAACGCCGCCGCCCCATCGGCTCCTTTTTCTGCTCTCCCTTCCCTCCAGAGGGTGACGAGCGCTTTGCCCAGGTGGAGCTGGACATGTACCGCCTGGCAGGTGGGCCCGGGGGACGCGGGGGCCGCATGGGGCGGGGGGTTGTGCTTGGACGGCAGGGGTATGAGGGTTCAGCACACGCCTCAACCTTGAGCTAGGATTGGATGGCGATGCTTGTGGATTGCTGTGAGTACCGGTTGCAATTGAGCTGGGCCCCTGCCTCGCTCCTGGCAGTGTCTCTGATAGAGTGGCCCCTCCTTTCAACATTTTACAACGTCCCTGCCGCATCCCACCCCAGGCCTGCTGATGGTTGAGCGCATGCGCCAGCAGTTTGAGATCGAGGCCATCCAGGCCCTCACTCGCGCGGCACCAGACTTTGCAGCAGCCGACGCAGCGGGCCAAGCACCCCTGCCGCAGGCGACCCCTGTCCTGCAGCGCAGCACCACCACCACCGCGGTCGGGCGCCGCGCGGCGTGGGCGCGCCAGCAGGCCCCGCGCGTGTTCCAAGCGGTGACCCAGCAGCTGGGCCGCGCGGAGCTGCTGCAGCTGGGGCCGGACGAAGCGGTGACGCAGCACACCAGCGTGCTGCTCCTGGCAGGGTCGCTGCAGTGCGCCCCCACCTTCCCGGAGGGCTGCTCCGACTCAGGGCGCGACGCGGTGCGGTGGCTGTGCAGTGCGGGCAAGCACCGCGGCCAGGGGCTCCTGCCGGCGATGTGGGAGGTCCTGGGGCGAGAGGACGTCGAGGCCGCCCCGGGTGAGAGGCGCGGCAGGCTGCACTGGGCTGGGGTGGCGGGGCAGAAGGGGTGCCACAACCGACTGCTGCTGGGCCGGCCACCAGGCCTCAAACCCTCACGAGGAGGGGCGATGAGGGACCCTCTGCTGATGCTGCCTGCCCAAGGCAGAAGCCATACCGCTCTCGGCCTTGTCCTCGCCCCTAGCTCTGCCCACCACGCCGCCCCGCTGCTCAACCACCGCTGCCCCACTCAACAGCGCACGTCCCGAGGCGGCAGCCGCGCGTGACCCTCACCGCCGGCCCCACCGGCGCCACGCTCCTCGTCTGCCCTGGACCCTACGGCACCGTGCCGCCCCCTGAAAGCGCGCAAGACCCCGCGGGCCCCGCCCCGCCGCCCACCAGTGTGCCCGTCAGCGAGGCGGGCGCGGCGGCCCTGCTGCCTGTCCTCCACCGTGCCGGCAGCAGCCGCAACCTGGGTGCGGGGCTGCTCGGGGGCGGCCTGCCGCGCGGCCCTTCAGCCCTGGACCTGGTGATGATGCCACCACTGGCCGGAGTCAGCGGCCCCGCACCCATAGCTGCGGCCACGCCGCAGCAGCCTGTTGCGCCCGCACTTCAGCCCCCATCGCCGGCCCCGGCCCCGGAGCTGGAGCTGCAGCCATCGGGGCAAGCCGGGGCGGCGCTGCTGGCGGGCGGGGTGGGCCGCATCAGCGAGGAGGAGGTGCGCTCGGGCGGCGGTGTCACAGCGGCCACTGGCGGCATAGGCAGCGGCGGTGGCGGCGGCTCGCGCGGCGCCGCAGCGGCGGGCCCGTCTCGTCGCAGCTTTTTGCCCCTCGAGGCTCGCGGCGCCTTGTGCCGCGAGAAGAAACTGCCCTTCAGCAGTGGTGGTGCAGGGCCGCAGTGAGCAGGCGCCTTGGTCCATCAACTGCAGGCATTTCCCTGCAGTGGTGCCGCGCGTAACCGCTGCAGCTGTGCAACCGGCCTCGCTTGCTGCCGCCTATCATGTGCGCGCTTTGCGCTTCCAGCACTCCTCTGACGCTTACCCCGTGTTTGGGGAAGGCGCGGGAGCAGCACATTCTTTTACCACATCCCTGCCCCCACGCAGCGCGTCGTTTTGGGAGCTACGCACATGCATGGCTGCCCTGTTGGTATTGCGGATAGGGCCATACATCTGGGACTTGGACAACAATTGTCACTGTCACACACAGATGCTTCACGCACTGTACACGGGGGCTTGAGGCATTTGAGGGCTGCTGGCTCAGCTGCCTCGTTTGAAACCATATGACGAGGAAGTGTTTGCGCTGCAACTTATTGAGTTGACTTTGGGGGGCAGACTTGGAGACTTTGCACCGTCATCATGCGCTGCGGACTTTGTGTATCGATATCCCATGCCGATCAACTATGCGGCCCTTATCACAGGCGCTCAGAGGTAATCTGAAGCACCTCAGGCCACACTCCTTGCATGGACAGTGGGGAGTAAATGGTGGTGTTACACTGCCATATGTGAGCATCTCAGCAATTTCTTGGTCAAACTGTGCAGCGTCCCTCTGCACCAGCTGCCACGTGACCGGCGACCCACGTGTCTGTTGTCAAACGCTTCCTACGCCCCCCACTCTCAAGCGCCCCTGAGCTGCCGAGCCATGAGGGACTCGCGCTTGCGTCGGAAGGCGCTGTTGCGCAGCGGCACGTAGCGGCCCGCCAGCACCTGAGCATAGGTTTGGTCATGACTCATGAGCTGCCAGCCTATCATCAGGGTCGTTTGCGTCTTTGGGTCCAGGGGGCCCCTGCATAAACGCCGAGGCTGCCCTTGTGTTGTCCTCCCACATGTTGCACGCGTCCTTCGCCAGCACCCCCCACCCCCCACAGACCTGTCCCTCCAGAAAGTTCTCCAGGTGGGCCACCTCCAGGGCGTGCAGCTGTGCGAGGTCCTGGGCCACCACCCTGAACCGCGCCGCCCTGCGCCCCGCCTCCTCCAGCCGCCGCAGCTCCAGCTCGTCGCGACCCTGGCCTGCGCGCTGCAGGAGCACCTACAGTGAGGGGGGTCCAGTGCGTGCTAGTGCACTTGACAATCCCTGTGGCGTTCATCAAACAGTGATACCAGCGCCAAGCAATGACAGGGTGCTGCAACGGCAACATGCTGCATTGTTCATGACATTATGCGGGCTTCTCCGGGGATGATTGAGCTGTGATCCGCCGCAGCCATGCTCCCGGATAGCCCCCGGCTGTTCTGCCTCACCTCAACCTCCGCCTGCTGCCGCACGCCCAAGCGCCCTGCCCTGAGCGCCCAGCCTGCCTCATGCGCTGCCTCCGCCGCTGCCCTGTCGGCCTGTAGCAGCTGCTGCGCTCCACGTGCCACCTCGTGCGCGGCGCGGTATTCTCCCTGCAGCAGGCACGCAGGGGGTCCTCCACTCAGCTGGCCGTGTTCAGCTTGGTTGCAGCGGGCAGCTGCAACATGGCAAGGAGTCAGCCTGCAGGGCTCTGCTGCTCAGGCATGAATCCGTCCGCCAAGGGATGCTCAGCATCCTGTAAAATTCAAACCCGCACCTGTTTTACAAGAACCCCTTCAACACGCCGCTGGCCGATGTACTGCGCACTTGGACGAAATGCCTGGGGACGCCGGGCCTCAGCCTCAGCGCGCGCAGCCGCCAGTTGAGCGGCCTGAGCAGCCTTCAGCGCCGCCAGCTGGGCGACTACCGCCGCCTCGTACTGCCTGGTGCGGTCCGCCCATTCCTCATCTGCCTGCTTGCTGTCCTGGGGTTGATGGTGGGTTGGGATGCAATCACACCATGCAGCGCAGCGCATACATAGCGAAGCAGCAACATCTTTGCTGCATGCACAAGCTCACACGTTCTTTGCACGGGAGTGCAAACCCCGCCGCAAGCTGCCCGTTTCAAAGCACGCCCCCGTCGCACCCTGTGAAACGCCTCCTGCAGATGCCTGAGCTCGGCCGCCTGAGAGGACACCAGCTCCGCCCTCAGCCGCTCAGCCTGCGCCGTGCGCAGGTCCTGCAGGCGATGGTGCGCGGCGCGCGCCTCTGCGTAGCGCCCCGTCAGCTCGCAGCCCTTGCGGTGTTCGTCCAGCCGCTGCATGTACGCGCGCACCGCCTCGTCAGCCTCCAGGTGCCCCGTCACCATCCGCGTCGCGCGCTTCTGAGTCATGCCGCGCTGCAGCGTGCCAACGGTGCAGCCGCTGCTGAGGGCGCTGGGCTGAGGGCCGCCCAGGGGGCTGCTGGGCCCTGCCAGAACCTCTACCAGAACCAGTCTGGGAGGATTGTGGTGGGATGGCACACGCGCGAAACGTGAGATCTTGCAGCTTGTTTCAGTCGGCACTGGTAAGCGCAAGGGTGGGTGCGGGAGACAGGCGCTGGCCCCGTATTGCCACCCCGCAGGACTGCTGCACATTACGGCTGCTTCCTGCCGGCCGTACCCTAACTTCCCCTCCCCGGCTGAGGCAGCCTCCCACAGCTCACATCTCCTCGAGACAAATGCTCTCCTCAGCAGACGCCAGGCCAAGGTGCGCCAGCGCTTCTTGAACCTGTTTGGAATTGGCATCTAGGAGTTTGGATTGCAGGGCCACAGCGCACGAAGCGCGCAACCAGTACTGCGATGCCTACAAACTGTCATCCACCCCACCCACCTGCTGCGGTGTTATGTCCAGCTGCAGCGCCTCACGAAGCACACTTGGCAGCGACGCAACTGGCAGCGTTCTGCCCGTTGCGTGCCGTGAAAAGGCTGCTTCCAGTGATGCCAAAACATCTCTTTGTGGCATAGAGCTCAATTGAAGCTTCTTCATGGCGGCTGGGGGCGGCAGTCCCACACACGAAGGCTCAGAACGCTGCGCAGCGCCCTCGGCTGCCGCCATGCTGCAGTACTGCTGACGCCCCCTGGTTTGGAGGCACGGATTTGCTGGTGCCTTGTAAGACAAAAATAAAGAAATAAAGGTATAAATTCACCACGTATCACGCCCGTGCTGAATGAAGGCCTCGCTCGTGGGCCACGTTTCTCGGAGTACGTACATATATCCGCCGGCAGCTCGGACACCAATGCTTCAAATGGCAAATACGTTACAAATGTTTGAGACATTATCAGAAGCAACAGCACACGTGGGATAATTGCGCATGAGATCGCGCCAGCAGTGCAGATGCAGCGACGCAACGGTCGGGGGGAAATCAGAAAGCGTGGACATGGCGAAAGCTCGCCGCGGATCACGGATTGGCTGAATGGTGCTGGATTGCAGTTACGTGTGGCAATCATTGTCGCTGAGTTCGTATCGCTGCGATTGTCACCGCGGGGGTTGGCGGGCACAGGTTGTGCACGAAGTCATGGCAGCGGGCATGGCCCAAACTTGCTGCAACAAACCACGCAAGCTACACGTGGATAGGCCGGTGGCATAAAGAAGATGCGAAGGCTCACATTGTCAATCTCTTGAGTTCAAGGGTATATTGCACCGAGCTGTTCGTCCCTCGCTGCGTCCTTGCCACGCCGCGTCGCACCACGCCGTTCCCCCCAAAACACACACAGCATGATGGTGCCCGCTACCCCCATGCAGAGTCCCAACACAACAGCCGCCAGCTCAAAGGATCCGAGCGCTGCCAGGATGGCACCGACGACGATGGGCCCCGCAAACCCGCCCAGGCTGGCGCAGATGGCGTTGAACACAGACAGCGTCACAGCCGCCTGCGCAGGCGGTGTCAAGCCCGCCACGCGCGCGCACATGGTAGACTGCCCACCAAACGCAAAGCCCATCGCCGCCGTCAGCATCACAAAGCCACCAGACGGCGAAACGCGCACGACCGGCCCAAAGCAGGCCAGCACCGCCCCGCCGACGACATAGGGCACGCCGACATGCAGAGTTTTTTCTTTTCTCCTATCCGCGTGCCAGGCCACCGCCATTGTTGACAGCAGCGCAACAACATAAGGAATTGTGGCGAGCAATGCGGCGTTGACACTGCTCTTGTGGGCGCCAGCCGTGACCGACGCGGAGGACAGGGCAGTGTTGTTCAGGAGGTTGGCGATGATGAGCGGCAGGAAGGAGCTCAGGGTGAAGGCTGACAGGGCTGCGCAGCAGGGGCAGGGGGCAGAGGAGCATGAGTCACCACGCAAAAGTGAGGGTCTACGAGAAGGGTGGCCCATGGGCGTGCTCTTGTGATGGAAACGCGGCGGCCTGTACACCAGTCCATATGAGTGCTCACAATACCTCAGGCCAGTGACTCCCGATGCTGCCCCTGCCAAGCCCCACACGACTGTGCCTCACCCCAGAGCAGGCCGACCACGATGAACACCCAGAGCAGCGGCGTGCGCAGCGCTTCAGCCACCATTGCCAGCGTGCCACGCACGGTGGGTCGCAATCGAGCTGTGTCGGCCCCCTCTGCTCCGTGAACCTGCAGGCGAGGTAGGACATGCGGAGACCAGCAGAAGGAGTGCTGCTCGGTGACAAGGCGCAGGCCTGGCGTTCAGATGGGGCGCTGTGGTGTGGAACCATTCATGGAAGGTCATACAGCACCCGCAACATGCCAAGCACTGCTGACTGGTCCACAAGCGCCCAACCATGTCCCTTGGCGGGCGGTGTCGCCCCTCATCTCACCGCGTGGTGCAGGGCCTCGCGCTGCCGCGGCGTCAGCCACCACGCGCTGAGCGGCTCCGAGGGCAGTAGTCCCCATACAGCCAGCCCCACGCCTATGGTGGGAAGCCCCTCAATCAGGAACAGCCACCGCCAGCCCGCGACACCGTGGACGCCGCCCATGCTGAGCAGCGCGCCCGCTATCGGCGCCGAGATCGCCGCCGAAATGCTACTGCACACTATGACGGCTGCGTAGGGTTTGACCAGCCTGTCGTAGGGGTAGTAGGCCGACAGCACGTGCCACGCACAGGGGCTGGAGCCGGCTTCAAATGCGCCCAGCAGCAGGCGCAGCGCAAAAAGCTAGTGGGGTGTGTGCATGCGAGTGTCGAGGGGACGGGTGATTGGCGATTTGTGCATGTTGCAGCAGAATGATCAGGAACGGCCGCACTTTCTTGAAAGCTTCAGACCGCAGAAGTTCTGCGCTCGTACTGGTGAACCGGATTGTGTGCTGACAGATGGCGCCCTTCCACCCTCCCCCGGGCCGGCGCTAGCTGCCCGTCAGCCCCCTCACCTGCGCCTCGTTCCTCACGAGTGCAGTGGCGCAGGCCACCATGCCCCAGCCAATGATAATGGCACCATACCACCACCTCAAGCCCACGCTCAACGCCAAGCAGGCGCTGGGCACCTGCAGGGCTCCGTACGTCAGGTAGAAGAGGCCTGGGGGGCCCAGGCGTGGTGTGTGGAGGGAGGGGGGGGGGCGCAAAGGTGGGCCCCGGGGATGCACGGCAGGACCAAGGGGGAAAGAAGCGGTGATGATGAGAGTAATGCAGCCGCTGTACCCTGGTTTTGTTGCAACCACGCTGCCTGCTGTGTTTCTTACCTGCACCCGACATCAACCTATGGCTCGCCCCAGTGTACGCACCCCGCGCTCACAGGCGCACCAGATGCAACGCCGTATGTGGTGGCCCCAAAGCCCAAATCATTGTTCATGTCAGCTGCTGCAAAGGACAGTGTACCACGGTCCAGGGTCTGCATTGTGCATGCTGCCATGATGAGCGGCAGCACTACCCAAGACACCCTGTGACACCAGGACAGATGCGGCGTTGGCGCAATTGATGTTGGGCACAACGTTGTGAATGCAACTTAAGTTTGCGCCTGCGCCTGGAGCTACCTGAATATTTCAGGCGACTCGCAAAAGTGGGTTTGGAGTGGGTGCGAATCCACCAAGAACAACAACCTGGGCGCCTCGCAGGCAGTCACCGCCGTCGCATAGCGGGCACCGACGAGCGACGATGCATCACGCCCACCTGCGCAAAGCGTTCGGGACATCCTGGTGCTCGTCATTCGTGCCTTTGCCGGAGGCGCTCCCCATACCTCCAAGACGTGGCCGAACTGTGAATGATGAGATGAGTACTAGATCGCTAGGAAGTGCTTATGTACAGCCAGACTATCATAAAGTTGAATGAATAATCTGTGCGAAGGTGGCATTCCATTTTTTTATCACCGGGACGCCGTTGTCAGCCTTTGCCGAAATGTGTGAGAAGCATTTTTCGCCACGCAGGTGTCTTGTAGAATCGACGCCCATGTGAGAAAACCGATCAGCTCATATAAGCGCTTGGGATAGCAGACGCATGGCACCTTACATCTCACATGGCCCCAGAAGCGCTGCAGCAGCAGGCGTCGCAGTCGTGCTTGTTCTGGCTGCAGCCGTTGCTCAATGGCTCTTCTCCAGGTGAGGGGGGCACCAAGGCTTTGTTGAAGATCACGGAGGTCCGATACAATGCCGGGCAAAGGTCTGTGTTGGTCGGTGTCCGTGCTGTTTTGAAGACTGACTGTGTTTGACCGCTGTGGCACGTGCACCCAGGGCACATGCCGATTTGGATGAGACGACTGCAAACAGCCCAACCCGAACGGAGGACGCCTTGCAGCCTTGGCCGCAGTGCCAGGACGGCCATGGCGTCAGCAAACCCATGCTGCTGGCGCCTGCTGTGCATGCTGCTGGACAGCTATCGCCCGCTGCGGAGCCAGGATGTCAGGCTCAGCGACACCCTCCACAACTCGGCGCTGAGCGAAGCGTCGCTGAATACAACACAAGCTCAGCTCGCTGCTTGTTGCTGAAACGCAGCACACCACGGCTTCGGCTGCCCTCCCTGTCCCGCAGCCGAGCCCCTGGGCGCAAGAGCAGGAATCTGTTGCCAGGCGCCACGATGCAAGGGTCGGCTGGGGCAACGCTACATTTGCTGCCTGAGACTGAATTCCAGCAATCAGCCCAGCAGCAGCAGCAGCAGCAGCAGCAGCAGCAGCAGCAGCAGCAGCAGCAGCAGCAGCAGCAACATTCACCGCACTTCAAGCCATGCGACAAGCGGCATAGCGACAGCTCAGACGTCAGCCACAGCGCCCGGAGCATTGGTGGCGGCAGCTTGCGCCTCAGCCGACCTGGTTCCCAGCTGCCAAGCATGAGCACGGGGCCGGAAGTGCTTTGGGGCCTTCAGCACACGGTCATCTGGCCACAGGGCAGCGCTGGCGGCGGATCCCCTGAACCCTGCTCGTTGACGGGCACGAGTGTTGTGAAGCGATGCGTATCAGCAGCAGGCAACGAGCAGCATCCCCGTGCGTGGGGCGAGGACCTCAGCAGTGGCGATGGAGCAACGAGTGGAAGTTGCCTCGTGCAGCACGTCTGGCACCAGCCGAGCAACTTGAAAGGACATCAAAGCAGCTGCGGTACCGGGTCGGCAGGTCTTACACCGCACCCTCTTAAGGGCGAAGTCAGGCGCAGCCAGTCAGCGGGCGCAGACGAGCGGCGCTGCTGTGTGTCTGATACAGAAGCAAGCGGCAGCGGCAGCAGTTTGCGGTCCATGAGCAAGCCGTTGCAGCATGGCTGGCAGCAGCACGAGGACACTCAGAAGAGCAGCCGTGGCGAGCAACCGGAGAGTGAAGTGCAGGCAGTCAGCTCCTCGGACGATGATGCTGTAGCAACTGTGCTGGCATGTTCCCGCGCCTTGGTAACGCAAAGCATTGACGGGCGTACAGAGCAGTTGGCGTGGCATCAGGGCCATGAGGAGGTGCTGACCAGCAACACAATCTGCAGCCAGCTCGTCGACAGCCTGAGGGCCCAGCTGCACGCAGCGATGGAGTTGGCGCAAAACAACCAGGCAGACGCTGCCATCGTGGAATGCGGCGCTGCGGCGCTTCACGCTGAAATTGACAGGCTGCAGCCAAGCCGAGCGTCTCACCGACGGTCTGACAAGCTGCCATGGCACAGCTTTGATTTGCCGCGCCAGCAGGCCCTCTTGGCTGGTCTCCAGGTGGCGTACGATGCGGGGGAGAGGGTACGTGAGCTTATGGCAGCGCTGCAGCAGCAGCTGGCAGCTTTGGCTGCACAGCAGAGGCGCACAACTGCGACTGTGGACCACCTGAAGCAGCAGCTGAAACAGGAGCGCCACCAGGCAGCCATCGCAGCCCAGCAGGCCGCCGACAGCGAGGCTGCACTGCGTGCCCGGCTCGCTCCAGCCCTGCCGCTGCTGCAAGCCGCACAGGCTGAACGCGTCGCAGCGGCGGAGGCAGCTGTGGCGTCTGCGCACCGTATAGCGCAACTGGAAGAACAGCTTGCAGTTGCTCAGGCAGAGACCACGCGGGCGTTGGCAGCCGCGCGAGAGCAGGAGATGGCAGCCGCCAAGGTTTCGGCGGCGCTGGAGGCGCGCCTGGCAGCGCTCTTGGCGGATAAAGAACGATTGCAGTGTGAATTGAAGCGGCAGGCAGAGGGTTTTGCCCAAGACAGCGCTCGCCTGTGCCGAGGCCTTGACGCCGCCAACAACCGGGTGGGTGTGCTCTCATTTAGAGAGGTCGAGGGGCGGGCATCCAAATGTTTCAGATACGGCTGGTTCTAAAGTTTCCCTGACCCAGTTCATTGAGCCCGTGGCAGCGACGTCCACCAGGTGAGTCTCCTTGAGTTGCTTGACACAGAGATGCACTTACCAAGGTGCGAATCCTGACCTCCCCGATACACATGCCTGGCAACCTCCAAACTTCCAAAAAGGTGGTGCAGACGGGAGAGCAGCTAGCGGCAATGAGTGGGGAGGCCGTTCAGCTCGCACTGGCGATCCTCTCGCCAGGTGGCGGTGTCATTGTGGCGAGGCGCCCGGCCAGCCCACCAGCAGGGCCACCAGACGAGGAGTGTGTGCCGCGGGCACATGAGCTGCTTGGCAGTGGATACTCCACTGATGGTGCGGGCAATCAGCGTGCAACACTGAAGGTATGCGACGCAGGGTGGGGCAGCGAAGCCGCGGTTGGGTTCAACTCCCCTACAACACTCACATGTGCAGTGACCTGTGCGTCGGCGGGTCAGCGTGCACCCCAAACGCCATGTTCTGACTGCGTGCTGCCGGAGCATGACACTGAGTAGGTCGCGTAGCCTTGGTGCAATAGACGAGCGTGCAGCATGCGAGCCCCTGCTCGCGCCTTTGGTCACTGCCTTTTATGGGTCAAGGGTATTGAGTCAGGCTTATGTATCTTGCATAAAGACTCCTAGAAGGGTCTGTGGGTTCCCCTTACTTTCTTTGCATGGTGTCTGTGGTCAGCCAGTGAGCGTGCATCACCGCACCGCTGTTGGCGCGGCCTGACGGTAATTTACCACAAGCTTTGTGCATGTGTTTGTGTAACTCTGCACTCTACTGTACGGTAAAGACTGTAACACCAATGTTTGCTGTCTGGCGCTGCCACTTGTAAAGGACACCCATGCATGGGTGTGTCAGCATTGGCCGTGCCTAAACCGCCACAGGTGACCTCGTGCATGAGCAAGTGCATTCCTGGGCCTTACATCACCATATGCTGAGTGCATAGGCCATGCGAATCCCATATCTCGTAAGGGCGATAAGCCTATACAATTCGAGGGCATGCATACTGTGGTTTGTGCACAACAGCTGCACAGCGTGCGTGGCAGTCAGTGGGCGCTTTTGGGGCGGTGCAGCTGACGGCAAGGCACCGGCCTTACCGTAATACCTTGTCACCACCAGCGTTCGTCTTGCATCATCCGCGCAAGGGGGTACAATTAGCTATACGCATCTTTCGAATACTGTAGATCGCACTTGCGGCACGCACACGCCACCTGGGCAAGCCGGCAGTGACTACTTTGCAGTATCGTATACAATGGAGGGCGACCAGGACGAGCAGCAGCATGGTGATGAGCCACAGCAAGAGCAAGAAGAGCGCCCAGAGCGCCGACAGAGGAGGGACGCGCAAGCCGCAGGCCCTCCCCAGGAACTGCACAACCTGCTGCGCATCCTTGCACGGCAGCGCGTAGTGCTGGCGGAGCGTGCCAGGGCCGCCACCAACGCCGACCTGATTGCAGCGCTGCGTGAGAGCGGTATGCTGACGAGGTGCGGGTGCTCTCCTGCTCACAAGCAACGGCATCGGTTGAATGAACACACGCTGTCGCCAGCTCAACAGCCTGTGTGTGTACATTCTGAGCAACAATTGCAGCCATGCATATCACATTCACTCAACTGCTTTGGTAGCCTCATCCGCCAGCACGTCACCCAAGAGTGCCACCCCCTCACAATCAACTCCTTGCAGCGAGGCTGTGGCGGGCGCAATGCTTGCGGTGCCACGCGGCGCCTTTGTGCCGATCGAGCACAGGTGACCTTCCGCCTCACAAGCGCGCGTACAATCCTGTGCTCACGAGATGCTATGGCATGAGCTTTCGCCTCGTCATTCCACCACCAACGTGCCGTTTGCGTGACCGGCCGCCGTCCTGGGTTTTCTCTTGGTATCCCCCATGCCCCTGCGCCCCCTCTGAGCCAGCCCACCCACGCGACCAGCAACCTGCACGCCCCTCCAACCCTATCAACCCACCCTTCATAGGGCGGAGGCCTATGTGGACGCCCCCATAAGGGTGGAGGCCGAGGGTTTCAATATCAGCGCGCCACACATGTGGGGGGGGGGGGGACAGGTGGACTGGAGGTAGAAGCAGGTTTTGTATGCGCCAGCTTGGGCCCCCGACCTGCGCGCCTGCCCGCGATCGGCATCGTGAGCTTTGCTGGAGCCACCAGGCGTCGGCTAGGTAGCCCACCATCTGCCCTGCTCACACCCGCGCAACGTGCGCATGGACGCTTGTACGGGGATGCTTGCCAGCGCTGCGGCGAGCGCCAGGAAAGCACCTGCTTTGAGTCCGCCTTACCTCCCCTTGTGCTTGGGTTTTGCGCACGAATCCTTTGGCTCCTCGCCCCTCACAACAGGCATGCGTCCATGCTGGAGTCGCTGAGGCTGCAGCCAGGAGACAGGTGCGCCCAGTGTGGTTCAAGCTTTCTGTGAACAGGAACCTTGACGCTTGGTCTGCCAGCCCCTTGTGAGCGGCTGGCCTCCCCTCTCTCCCTGCCTCCCTTCCCCCGCTCTTTTCAAAGGTTCTTGGACGTGGGCTGCGGCTGCGGCGTGCTCGCCGCCTGCGCCGCCATGCTGGTGCGCTGCAGCGGCGGGTCGTATACGCGCCTGAGGCACGCGCTTTCCTCTGT